GACTCCTATGCACTTACCCCCTTTCATTCTTGCTGCCACCATTAATTACGTCTCCCTTTCCTCGCCCATCTCTCTTTCGTCTTTACTCCCTCTCTGTTTTCTCATTCGACCCACGGTTTTCTTTTTCTTCACGCTTCTCCCGTTGTTTTCGTCGTCGTTGTCGTTATATCGCGCACTTTCACTCTTTAATATTTCGCATTATTTCTGGAGGAATTTTTAAGCCGCCCCGCCTGCGTCTTGGCGTTCCTTTTATTTTTGCCATGATAATAGAGTATTTAAAGCAAGGAAGAGTTTTTCGTGTAATTAAATTGCTTTACATTCGATCAAATATTTTTTATTCCTAGGTACTCGGGGCTATAAGTTATTCTGGCATCGTCTTATTATCCGCGTAATCGTTGGTTCGCGCGGACATTTTTGCTTTTAGATTCGATTTAGATATGTTATTGCATCTCATTAATCTCTATTAATTATTGCAATTTGCCATATGATATTTAAAAAGAATTATTAAATTTGAGTATTTAAAATTGTTAAGGCGCTAAGAGCAGATTAATTTTATTATAATTTAGCAATTAATTAAAATTACAATATTAATTAATTTGAAATGGATTTCGAATAGTGGATATTTAAGGCCAATTTATCGAATGAGGATAAAATTTGAAAATTGGGTAATTAATTACAAAATTAAAATAAAAATAAAAATATAAAAAAATAATCATATTTTTAAAAGGATTTTTAAATATATTTTTCAAAAATGAATCATCGCATCCTTTTAATCAACATTCTCCAATTTAAGCTTATTCAATTTTCCAAAATGATTATTATGCGATTAATTTCCGATAAGATGTATATTTAGTTTTTAGTTCTTCGTTCTTTCCCCGTAATTTTAGAATTATAACACATGCCAACAAGATTAGATAATTATTTTATTAAAATAACAAAATACTTTTTAACAACTACATTTAAATCAGTAGTTCGTTATGATAAAATTTTTTTTTTTTTTTTTTTTTTTTTTTTTTTTTTTTTAATTATTATTATTATTATTATTATTATTATTATTATTAATATTATAGTAAAATGTATTTGATCGTTCTAGGTTATATAATCGTATAAGTATGGTAAAGAGATAAAACTTAAAAATTCTTTTTTTTATGTAAATAATTAGGAATTTGCATAATTGGCAATATTAACAAGTAAAATGTTGAATCATGTTTGTGATTGCGTTTTAAAAGACCGTGGAAAGCTTTCTTCGGCGTACAATAAGCCTCCATAATTGAATAAATTGAGATTCATCGCGCGAACCGTTGGGTGCGCGACACGCGTCACTTTCAGTCCAAGGCTCGAACATTCGTCGTCGATTGATAAAATAAGTTGCCTAAGAATCACGAAAATTTAAAAGCGTAAGAAAATAGAAGCATAAGAAAAGCGTTTCGCTCGTAAAAGCAGGAAGGCCGTAACATCGTGTTCGGGGTAAGTGATCGGAGAAAAAGTGTAGCACGATGGAATCACGGCGGCTGTCCCCTTTACCGTAAAATATTTTTTCAGTGTCACTGAGCCAATCGCGCATCTCCCGCGGAGTGCGAGTTCGCGACAACTCGCGGCCGCTTGATTTACGTCTGCCCTCGGGATCGCCGGCCTCCCCAACCCCTGCGCTACGCCCCCCTCCCCCACCCCCGCCAAGATCGAAACCATCGCAAACACTCGCGCGTCTCGGCTTTGAACAATGGAATTGCGTCGCTGCGTCAATCTGCCCCTATCAATCACTTTGTTGGCTCCTCCACCTCCAGTGTGGCCGGTTTCTCGTTTCCTCGTCTCTGTCCTGATGAGGCACACCGCGTGCGCCTACCTAAGCTTAGGAACTCGAGCGCTAACCTCGGCAGCTTGCAACCCATGCTTTTACACGCAACGCGCGCGCGAGCGCATCCCATCCTCCGAGTCTCTGGAATTGCGCCGAGATAGCTAATTTAGCGAAATACGACTGCCAATTGTCGCAGGATACTTCTTTGTAATCGAGTATCTTAGTAATTAGAGGATTTGCAACTCCGCTAATATGACGGATTAGACATTCGTATGTACATAAGATATTTCCATAAGAAATGAAAAGTGATTATCTTTGTCTCATTTGTGCTTAGGAATTTGGAAAGAATGGAATTTCAAATTTTAAAAATGTTTGTCACTGCAGAAAACTATATGCAGAAAAATATATGCGTGCGTATTCGTTGTAGCACGTAAGATAAGATAAAGAAATATACTTTTGAATTTAAAATGATCTTGATATTAAAGGTGAAAATATTTGCATGAAAATGTTAAATTTAAAGTTTTGGGAATTACGGTAATACGAAACTTGACGTCGTTTATATAAGTTTTACAGTTTCCCTTGTTAATCCCTTCTTAAGACCATCATCTCCTAACAACTTATGTAGAAGATCCTAGAATATTTGGTTTATTTGTTATGGTTTATATTTTGCTAAAATTTCACATAATCAACATTTGATTTGTATTTTGAAGTTAGGCAATAGGCTAAAACTTTTTGACACTTTATATCTGATTTTTATAACAATTTTTATAAGCGATCTTTTTAACAAATTTAACGGCTTTCTTTTTAATTATGAAATTATTTTAATATTTATTATGCATATTATTCTTGAGTTCGTAATGAGATAGTGAGAATTTTTCATATTACTTTAGCATCAGTGGATAATAGTTGTTATTGCAAATGAGAAAGCGTGTTTAAAGAAAGTATCTTATACTTTGATAGGCTCTGTTTTATTTATTTAAAACCGTGAAAATTTAACATTTATATTATATATTATATAGAACGTAAAATCAATGTGAAATATTAAAGTTGATATAAATCTTACCTAATTACTTATATGATATATTGTAGTATTTGTAGTATATTGTAGTATACTTATATGTATTGCTTGTTACTTAACTGATAATCAATGATGAAGCCAACTATTTTGAAAATCTTTCGCAACGTAAATATATTTTATAAATTTATTATATTTACAATTCACGACGTTATTCATTGTGTTATGAATTAACAAAAAAAAATTTTTTTCCCAATAGTTAGTTATGTTTTCTTATAAAATATATTTCACAATACATTTAGCTAATGAAACATAACACGATAAACCGAATTGAGATACTAGAAAGAAATAATGTTTTAAATGCAGATATTTGACAGTGAAATGGTAATAATCTGGCCATACATTTCAAAGAATTTTCATCACAATCGAGCGTGTCTTATTTCAGATTTGTCGAATAAATTGCAACAAAATTAACATCCTAATATTCAATAATTTTCAGATAATAAAAATATTTAGCTTTACTAGCGTAAGTGCAAATTACGAGTTTTCATTTTTTCTGAGCGCTATAAAGAAGTCTCTACCCACCTCACAAACGTGTAATTTCAAACAGCTCGACACTATGAAAGATCGGTTAAATTGATATCTCACTTGTAAGTTTGGCTCGGTTTGCGCATAGCTTAACGGCTGCTACGATCACTTATTAAAACATAATTATTTCGCTCCTCCTACTTCCCAATATATCGGCTCAGAAATCGATCTATTAAATTTTACTTTCGTGTTTAACCTTTCCATTCGACACGAAGACGGCCGCTCTCGTCATTTCACTTCGATCCACAACTGATCCATGAACACGAGCAATTATTATGTTTAACGAGAATACGGCAGACCAGTAATGGCCTTCTACCGCTGATAGACATTTTCGTTTGAGTACGATACCTACGAAGGTTCAACGAACCCGATCTATCCTTTAATAATGAGAAACTCGGAATTTTTATCGCCGCTCATGAGCTGCCCTGGCTATTGCCCTTTATTCACTAAGCTAATTGTCTAATTTATCGTCACGGAAGTACTTAACGCATACTTTCTTCGCCATCATTGACGTCTGAAGGTCGATTGACCAATGCACAGTTATTATTTGTTAGTGTCCTATTACGTACGCATTCTTTCATTTAGTGGTCAATTCTCAAACGTTAATAATTGATTCCTTTAACATTTTCATTATTATCATAACTGTATACATTTACTGTAATTTATTATATTAACTAATGATTAAAAAAAAACAACCGAGAATAGACGATTTACACATATAGAAATAATAATAGCAATATCGAATAAAATTTATTTCGTTTCAAGTAATTCTCGCTTTTAAGCATTAACTTTGTTCATCAACATCATTCTCAATTACTAACAAAATATAAAATGTAATTTTGATGTAATAGATTATTATTATACTATAATTGTTGATATAGTTAGAGATACATACAGTTAGAAATGTAAGAATAAATACGTATAAATTTTAAAGTCATTAAAGTCCATTATGGTTATTTTCTCTATTACATAAGGGCCGATTACCCAATTTTCTCGGAATCTTATGCATTATTGAAAACATTTAAATTTAATGTAGGATACATTAGCAATATTTTTATTTATCAAATTGACGTATTTAAGATACGGATTTTTATTGAATGACTTCCTACGTTATTGCAAGCTCAACTATTATTAAAAGTACCGTAATCAGTTGATGTTTGACTATTAGACATCGTATTTCATAACAGACAAATATAAATTGGTAATAATTTATAAACTCGTGTGTAATTTAAGTTTATATTAATTAATAAATTGGTCTACAATTTTAATCATTCGTATTAATTAATAGTCACGGCCAAATTATATCAAATTGAATTATATACAAAATTTTAACCCCCCGGTATTATTAGTAATTAGTACTCTTATGCGTAACGAAGTTAATTATCGAAAAATTTTGATTTTCTCACAAATTAACCAACGCAATGAAATTACAATAATTTTAATGACAATATTAAAAAAAATTTCATTTCCACGAAAAGGATTTTAGTTTTAAATATTAAAAAAAAAAACAACAAATATTTAGTTATAATTTTAATTCATCTCACAACATGGGCGCGAGCGCGCGCGCGCACACACACATAACATTAAATAAAAATATCTTACCGATCTGTCCAACACAAAGTCTCTTCGCGATACCTAAAACAATAAAATGTACAATTACTCAATAATTATTTTCAATTAAATCTAACTTAAATGAAATATGTAATTTTAATCACGCCAAATTAGATTAGTAGTGTGGTTAAGATCAATCATACTAGGCTAATTTGTGGATTTCGGTTAGATGGGAGGGCAGAGCAGGTTGCGTGACTTTGGTCCTCAACTTCGCGACCCTCCACGAAGAATCAAGAGCTTGTCCGAAAATCGTGCCGTGACTTACAGGGAAAAGCTTTTATATGAAAGTCTTGGTCGAGGATAAGATCGCTGTCGTAAATTGCGCGGGTAAGCCTAATCTTGTGTCTGGATGAGTGACTAAAGTAAGAGAGCCAGAAGCTCAAGTTTTATTCTTACTGGCGCGACAGTATTCGTAAACTATATATACACTCTGTGCTTTAGAAGTCAAGTGTATGTTCCTAAGTGAATTACCTTCTATAATCATATTATAGGCTATACGGATTTTCCTTATTATAAAATGACAATAATGAAAATAATAATAATAAATATAAAACAAATAACAATAACAAGAACGAGAACAATTACAACAACAACAACAACAACAACAACAACAACAACAACAACAGAAGCTGCAGCAATGACGACTATGACGATGACGACGACGACGACGACGACGACGACGACGACGACGATGATAATAATAATAATAACAGCAACAATGTTGAATAACAACAATGAGTTCTAATGGTAAATTGAGAGTTGATAAAATTTGAATTAAAAACTTTTTCTTTATTGGAATTTAATTCGGATTCATGAACTGAATATTCGAAATATTCTCATTTGGAAACCACTTTTCTTACTTACTATATTCATAAGTCTTATGATTATATGTATTTACTTTTTGTTGGTGATATGAAAATGAAATTTTTATATTTATTAAAATCCGTTACTTTAACTTTTTAAGAATAATAATTTAACATTATATTTATAAAACCATTACGAATTAAACATAGAAAAATGATTACTTCATGAAAGATTTATTGAGATATATCTTTTGTTCTGTTAATTGGGATAAAAGTGAAATGTTAAGCATGCAGTTTAGAAACCATTGAAGTAACTTTACATTAAAAAAAATTTTTAGGAAAATCTTTGCAATGTGTTGCAATAAAAGATGACAATACGTTTAAAAAATAATATATATCTATATGTATGAGCTCACGCGCGCGCACGTGTATGTTCATAAATGCAATTGAATGCATTATTATTATAAATTAAATGTATGTATATATATATATATATATATATATATATATATATATATATACTATTTAATATAATATTAACAAAAAATCATAATGAATTATAGTAAATTATTGGAACTCGATTAAAAAGCAAAAAGATCTGATATTTACAAAAATATACAGTGCCGTTAATATAATGTTAATTGGCCAATTTCAATTTGTTTGTATGCGTATATAGAACGAAAGAACGAAAGAAAGAATATAGCTAATACACCTGAAATATAATTAATTTTCAAAATTGCATAATAAATGCAGTTTTGAATTGCGCTTCTCATTTGGGAAGAGGGTGCGTTTAAAACAAGGACAATAAGTCAAAGCCGGCAGTGGTACAATCGAAATGTCATTAATGCTGACTTATGGGCTCTGGCAACAAACGTCTTGTCAAACTCGCATGCACAGGCGTGTAAAGCAGCCCTAAAGTGAAAAAAGCTTGCGCCCCATCCGCCAAACGTCCCCCGGGTTCCATCTCACGGGTCTTTTCGCTTTTTCAAAGCACGCGAGTTGGATAGTTCATAAGTTTGTACTCGGCGAAGGAGGGAGAGGAGCGAGGGGAATCGGAAGAACGTGCATTCTCATATGTACTGGGCAAGTGGGAAGAGTCGAGTTGCGATGGGAAGAGAAGGAAGAATAAAGCGTAGGGAGCAAGATGATTTCAGCCGTCGACAAGGACATGATTTAAAGCCAAATATTACGACAAAGCCAGAACATTCCTTAGTGGCTTTTCGCGGCTGTTTCTCTCGCACCCTTAATTTCCTTTTCTGTTTCTCAATAAGTCTATCCTACTCTCACTGCTCTTTCCTCTCTCCCGCTCAGGTTCTCCGCCCGCTGATAATATCTTAGACACGTTGGGTATTTAGCCATAAAAATATTTGGCTAAATGCCTTCGGTTCTAATATTCGTACATGTTCTTTAAATTAAAGATATGCCCATGAAATTTAAAATTCTTATCGCGCTCTTTAATAAATAAATTTTATATTTGCGTCCAGCTTCTCGAAGGTTGCTTTTCATTAATCTCGTATTGTCCTTATGGAGTTTATATATGAATTTTAAATACTATTCATTTAAATTCCATGGTTTCTCTAAGCGCAATGCCTGGTTAATTTATAAAAAAAAAATATTTAAAAATCAGCTTATATTATATCTCAGTTTATATTATAATCAAAATTCATATAGAATTTTCATTAAAATAATTTATCATTACCTAGTGGGTTCCAATTTTTCTAATGAAAAGCAACGGAAAGATGTAAGGAATGTAGTATCCTACAAATACAATAAAAATAAGCTTTTTACTCACTTTTGCTGTTTTTCACGGCATAACGAATCGGTCATTCAGAGAGTCTCAGTACGCATGACTCGATGGCCCGTGATTAAATCACTGAGATACATTAGTGATCTGACTCATGGCTACCTCATATACATACATACATAATTACATATATACATGCACAAATACCTACAAACATACAAATATATATATATATATATATATATATATATATCACTCCCTCAGTTAGACCTCTCCAGGGTGTGATATCTATACTTTAATAATTGTCCAGACCCGAGAATAAGATGCGCTCTCTTTCTCTCTCTCTCTCTCTCTCTCTCACGCGCGGGCGCGCTCTCTCTTAGTAACGTAAGCGTACTCAGCAATAAAGTCAGCAATAAACTCTTCCATTCTCCGACCTTCCGCATTCAGCCTTTGCTCATTCTGTCCATCTCTCTTTTTCCTTCGCTGACATCTGGTGTAAAGCGACAAGGCGGAAAAGAGACCGCGTAGAAAGCGACGGCTATATCGGCTATATCGCCAAGCTCCAACCCATGCAGTAGTTGTGGTCGAGGAATGACCAGCCGTTGGTCTCATACAAGAGCTCAGAAAGAGAGACACTGAGAGAAAGAACGAGAGGATGGGAGAGTGTGTATGTGTTCGAGTGTGCGCTTGTGCGCGAGTAAAAGCGTATGTGAGCCGTAGGCGGCCCAATTACTAGCGCATTAAATCAATGTACCACGAGCCGTTGCGGCAATAAACCGCGGCTCAGCATATCTCCACGGATGACTGTAGGGATGCCGAGAAACTTATATGCCACACTTAGCAAGGGAGAACGTTTGCGGGGGTGGGAGTGGGGTGACGTGAGAGACGAGCCATGGGAATTTAGCTGAAAGCATAGGCATTCTTAGAGCATAAGCAAGATCGTCAAATCTACGAGAAATTAAATAGGCAAATGGTAATCGATCGACCAGATACGATCGCCTTATAAAATATTCACTATTATGGAAAAAAATACTGCTTAATTCTATTAATAAGATGAATTATATAAAACTGATGAATAAAAAATATATTTTATTACTAGAAATACAAATATGTGATTAATGTAGTCTTTTTCATATTAGTTTATATTATATTTTAATCATCAATGTATTTTGGCAAATTTTCAAAGCATTTACCCATTTAGAAAAAATCGTATAAATTTCATTTTTAACTTAATATTTTTCAAATATAAAATAAGTATCATATTCATTCATGATATTTATATTGCATTCTACAAAACATTGACGATTCTCCGATATTTCTACTTTAAAATTATCTGAATAATCATTCACTGTAAATTGAATTATAATCTTTATTGACAATTTATTATGAATATTAAGATTCGGAATTAATAACAATAAAAAAATTAACTTTTTTCATTTAATATTACAGTCAAGACTGATATGACTGTAACTAACATATTGTGTAATTCTCTATAGAAAGAAAAATTTGTTATTACACGAGAGAAAATAAGTTTCGTATTTGAATTATTAATAAGTCTCTTACTTGTATAAGTAATGCAATGATGGCAAAATGCAAAATGGTGAGAATGATTCGTTAAAATTGGTTTATCCAATACAAGACTTAACTTGATGGCACAGCCGTGCACCTTCTATTTATTTGAATTCAAAAGTGTTCTCTAACAATAATTTCGTTACTATTTAGGTTTGTTGTATTTAAACTGCTATTTCATAGTTCATTATTAATTATAATCGCAGTATATAAGAAATAATTTGCTAAAATAGACATGTATTAAATTATGATTATATTAGATATTTGAAGGTGTGCTGTGTTAATGTCTAAAATAATATTTTAAATCATCTTATGACTATATACATTCAATTTAATATATTATAGTGATATAGTGAAAGGTTTCAAATGAAAAAGATACGATCTTTCGGATCAATAACATTTCAACATTTTTTGTATACTTAATATTATAGAAAATTGAAACAAATATTTTCACTTTTTATGAAAGATTAAAAAAAAAAATCAACTACGCCGATAATAATTAAGCAAATTATATTTAATAAATGATTTTATCTCCTAATTCAATATATATATATATATATATATATATATATATATATATATATATATATATATATATATATATATATATATATATATATATATATATATATATATATATATATATATATATATATATATTTCACTCTTATCGAAGGAAAATATGTGAATTCGATAAAAATCTTTTTATTATTTATAATTTAATATTGCTTATTCAAATAATATTATGATTGATTATACAGAATTTCTTGTTCTTATTAATGCAAATGAGGATAACTAATTTTCTAAAATTATATCATGATTAGTACATTAATCTTTTCCCAAAATGACTGCTTTTTTTATCGTTTTATTTCAATTTAGCTCAGTTTATTATTAAATAAACGTGA